AGACGAATTCCTTGTGTGTCCAATCACACTTGGCCCATAAAAGAATTATACATTCTACATTCCATTCTGGAATCCATAACAAAACACGAAGATTAACCATTTTTGTTTTCTTCCTTTCCTTCCTCTCCCCTGCTCTGCTCCGCCGGGGTGAAGGCCACCAAGCAATTCCTGGAAGAGATCAACAAATGGACCACTCAGTACAATGTCTCTCCCCTTTCCTGGAACATGGCTGTCAAATTCCTCATGGCTAGAAAATTTGACGTCCTCCGAGCGATTGAACTCTTCCACTCCTACAGGGTGAGTTGCTTGGGCAATGCAGGGGTTTTTCTATTCGGTGACTTCCATGGGTGGGTTCACACAAGCTGGACCCATGGAGGGCCTCTTTCCAAGATGGCTTAAACCCTTTTGCTGAGAATGGTCGCTGTAATTGGGCTCAGGGGCTAAGACGCCGAGCTTGTCGATCAGAAAGGTGGGCGGTTCAGCGGTTCGAATCCCCAGCGCCGCGTCATGGAGGGAGCTCCCGTCACTGGTCTCCAGCTTCTGCCAACCTGGCAGTTCGAAAGCATGTCAAAAAAAAAAATGCAAGTAGAAAAATAGGGACCATTTTGGTGGGAAGGGAACAGTGTTCTGTGCGCCTTCGATGTTTAGTCCTGCTGGCCACATGACCACGGAGACGTCTTCGGACAGCGCTGGCTCTTCTTCGGCTTTGTAACGGATATGAGAGCCGAAAATGACTCACATGCATGTGTGAGGGGAACCTTTATCTTTTAGTTTAATAAAAAGAAGGACATGGGAGTGACATGATAGCAGTCTGAGGGGCTGCCACAAAGAAGAGGGGGTCCATTTATTCTCCAAAGCCCCTGAAGGCAAGGCAAGAAGTAACGGAAGGAAACTAATCAAGGAGAGAAGCAACCTAGAACTAAGGAGAAATTAACCAGTGGAACAACGTGCCTCCATAAATTGTAGCTGCTCCATCACTGGAGGTTTTTAAGAAGAGTCTGGACAGCCACTTGTCTGAAATGAACTAGGGTCTCCTGCTTGTGCAGGGGGTTAGACTAGAAGACCTCCAAGGTCCCTTCCAGCTCTATTCTGATTGATGGATGGATCTTCTTCCCACCCCTTTAGGAAACGAGGTTCAAGGAAGGAATCGTGAAACTCAAACCTCACGAGGAACCGTTGAGGTCAGAACTCCTGAGTGGAAAATTCACCATCCTGGTAAGTTTTGGCTTCTGGGGAATTTCAAAGGGATGAAGCTAGAACGCTAGAAAAAAATTGCAGAAAAAAATTGATAGATATTTATAAATATTTCTAAATATTTCTTTTTAGAGTTGCCAACCGAAAGGGAGGGGGGAGCAGTGCGGCAGCTTGCAAACCGAAACTGCATTCCATAAATGTTTTCAAAGATAGTAACTAGGTGACCGAAGTTTCTGTCAGGCAAAATTCTAACTGGAGAGCATGATTGATGACTCTGGGCTAGGGAGGTGTCCCATTGGAGAATATGAATTACGATACACCCAGAGGGTGGAGGGAAAACCAGGGTCAAGGGTGAAATGAATGATGTGTGTTTCAGAGTCGGCTACACCCAAGAAGTGCCAGCATGTTTACTCCCAATAAATCCTTTTGAAGTTTTGGAAGTTTGCCTCAAGACTCATGATTTAAATGAGGTTAAGTGCCGGAATCCTGACACCGACCTCATTTTATGAGCATTTTCACCCTGGTTGTTAAGCGATTCGCAAAATCATGGAGTGAATGACATGGCCATTAAACGAATCTGGATTCGCTCATTGAGTTTGTTTGTCTGACGCCGGCTGGGAAGGTTGCGACCTTAACCCCCAGGATGACGCAACCGTCATAAATGCGAGACCTATTGCCAAGCGTCTGAATTTTGATCACGTGACTGCAAGGACGTTGGTGGCCATTGTAAGTGCGACAAATTGGTTATAAATCACTTTCCTTTCCCCCTGTTTTTATATTTTAAATTTTACCGTCATCAAGTGTGTCTTATTTTAATTTGTGATGCTTTTGGCACAAATAATACACGCTTTGGAGAAGATACAAAAATTGGCCTGAAGCTGCTGCTGCACTTTGGTAGATGGTTAACAACAATCATCTCCTTGCCCTTCTAGTTGTTATATTGTGTGTGTGTGTGTGTGTGTGTGTCATTAGGGAGGGAAGGGCTCACAAAGGTCATTATGCAGCCTCCCTACAGTCATGTAATGAGAAATGTCTGGCAAGTCAACAAGCGAGGAATTACAGAAGGAAATAACTCACACTGTCAATGCATTCCTGGCTATTAGTATTCGGAGGTGGACTGTCCCTGCAGCTGGAGGCTCCATCGCAGGAGTCAGAGTCCATGACAAATAATGAACCTCTCCTCCTCTTCCTCCTCATCCAGGCATTGCTCTTCTCCTGTAAAGGCATCTAAGCCAACTCCCTTCAGCGTATCTTGGCAACCATGCGCGATGTACAATCCATGCATTCCCTGCCTTCCGTCTCTTGTTAATTTATTCACCATAGGAGACCTCAAATCCTAGGCCTGCAGCTTCCAAACCAAAGCCAACCTGATTCATTTCGTTTCTAGCCTGGCGAACGTGATATTGATTTTATTGTCTCCCTATCAGGTTTCTGTACCTGATAAAATCACTTGTGTGTCGCTGGGCGGCTTGAAATTATAGAGAATCCATCGCTCAAAGCAAAATGAGACAAACTTAACAAACCAGGGTTAAAACCGAGTTAAACAGAACAACAGGCCCGGTCTTTTCTCTGCCCGCTAACCTTTTCACAACAACCCTGTAAGGTCGGCCATCAGCAGGGAAGGAAAACCCGCCATTTCCCCCATAGAGAGCTACGGCTAGCGAGAATTCCATCCTGAAGTTTTCTTGTTCCTTTACTTAATGTAGGACACAGGTGGGAATCAAAGGCTACAGCTCTTAAGAGCCATGAATGTTTCCAAAATATTTGGGGCTCCTGGATAAATCCGATCTCTACTGCCCTTCGCCATGGATGAAACCCAGTTTCTTGACGGCTTGCCAATCATCACAACTCTCTGTGGGCTTGGCAGAGGTTCCTTTAAACCCTGTTTGCCCACCTGGCTGACCTCCTTCCACCTGCTTTCTTTGCAGAGTGTGCGGGATCCCTCCGGAGCCTCCATTGCTCTCTTCACCGCGAAGTTGCACCACCCCAATAAAAGTGTCCAACACGTGGTACTTCAGGCCCTCTTCTACCTGCTGGACAGGGCAGTGGAAAGGTAAGGAGGGCTGTTTGGAGTGCAACCGGGCACCTGGTTTTGGCTTCAAGAGCCTGGAGTGATTAGAATGATTAGAATTCTTTTCTTTTGTAGGGATAGCAACACCCATAAGCACTTAGACATATATACCGCTTCACGGGGCTTCTCAACCCTCTCTGAGTGGTTTACAGAGTCAGCCTCTTGTAGCCTCAACAACGTAGGTCCTCATTTGACTGACCTCGGAAGGATGGAAGGCTGAGTCAATCTCGAGCCGTTCAGGATCCAACTGCTGGCAGTGGGCAGAGTTAGCCTGCAATACTGCGTTCTAACCACAAGGGAAGGAAGGGAGGGGAGGAGGAGGAAGGAGGAAAGGGAAGGGAAGGGAAGGGAAGGAAGGAAGGAAGGAAGGAAGGAAAGCAAGGAAGGAAAGCAAGGAAGGAAAGCAAGGAAGGAAGGAAACTAGCAGTAGCACTTAGACTTATACACCACTTCCCAGTGCTTTCCAGCCCTCTCTAAGTGGTTTACAGAGTCAGCCTCCTGCCCCCAACAATCTGGGTCCTCATTTTACCCACCTTGGAAGGATGGAAGGCTGAGTCAACCTTGGGCTGGTCAGGATCGAACTGCTGGCAGTGGGTAGTGAGTTAGCCTGACATACTGCATTCTAACTAGAAGGAAGGAAAGGAGGGAAGGGAAGAATGAAGGAAGATAGCAATAGCTCTTAGACTTATATGCCGCTTTACAATCCTTTCCAGCCCTCTCTAAGCGGTTTGCAGAGTCAGCCTCTTGCCCCCCACAGTCTGGGTCCTCATTTTACCCACCTTGGAAGGATGGAAGCTAAGTTCACCTTGAGCCTGATGAGAATCGAACTGCTAAATTGCAGGCAGCCGGCAAGCAGCAAAAGTAGCCTGCAGTACTGCAGTCCGACCACTGCGCCACCAGGGCGCAGGATCGTTTTCTACTCTCTACCCCCCTGCAAAAATCTCAGGTTTTCCCATTGACTAAAAGCCTTGCTTGCTTCCCAGGGCTGGTTTTCAAAGCTCCAAATTCCCTGGTAGTCCTCGGCTTATGAGCACAATTGACCCCGAAAATTTACCTCGTTAAGTGGGGCATTCTGTTAAGCGAGCTTTGCCCCCTTTTAACGATGTCGCTTCTCACCTTTGTTTACGGAATCGTTGCGGTCGTTCAATGAGTCACCTGGTTGTTAAGTGAATCTGGCTTCCCCGTTGACTTTGGTGGTCATAAAAAGGGGATTGTGGGGCACTGCAGCCGTCGTAAATGTGAGTCAGCTGTCAAGCATCAGAATACAAATTGTGGGACCATTAAGGATGCTGGAAGTGTGAAAAAGTAACCGCAGGTCACTTTTTCCAGGGCCGTCATAAACTTTGAACAGTCACTAAATAAAACATTGTATGTCAAGGACTATCTGTATTCTGGAATGCCTTCGTTCCCCGGTTCGAAAGTGCCAAAGTTTGGGCTTGTTTTATTTATTTTATTTTATTTTTAACCACCCCTCTCTCTCACAGAGGAACTCTGAACAGCGTACAATAAAGTATTAAAATATAAACAAACCAGTGCAGAAAAGTTAAAAATTCAAACAAAAGAGGCAAGGATGGTAAAACCATGGTTTAAAAATTAACTGAAAGGCAAAGGTTTTTTTTTTGAGACACTAGTCTCATGGCTGTCTAAAAATATAA